TCTAATGATACGAGCAAGCTCGTGATACTCCTTGGCCTTCTCAAAGTCGCCTAGTTTCTTGTACACAGAACCCAAGTTGCAATAAATAGTTGCCACATGTACATGGTCAGGTCCGAGCTTTTTCTGGCAGATGCTTAGAGCAAGTTCATAATACTCCTTGGCCTTCTCAAAGTCGCCTAGTTCCGCGTGAACAGAACCCAGGTTACTGTAACTAGTTGCCGCTCTTACATGCTCAGGTCCCAGCTTTTTCTCTTTAATGCTCAGAGCAAGTTCGTGATACTCCTTGGCCTTCTCAAAGTTGCCCAGTCCATTGTGCACAGAACCCAGGTTATTGTAACTAGTTGCCACTGTTACATGCTCACGTCCCAGCTTTTTCTCTTGAATTCTCAGAGCAAGTTCGAAATACTCCTTGGCCTTCTCAAAGTCGCCCACTTCCCTGTGAACAAAACCCAGGTTATTGTAACTAGTTGCCACTGTTACATGCTCAGGTCCCAGCTTTCTCTCTTCAATGCTCAGAGCAAGTTCGTAATACTCCCTGGCCTTCTCAAAGTCGCCCAGTTGCGCGTGAACATAACCCAGGTTATTGTAACTAGTTGCCACTGTTACATGCTCACGTCCCAGCTTTTTCTCTTGAATTCTCAGAGCAAGTTCGAAATACTCCTTGGCCTTCTCAAAGTCGCCCACTTCCCTGTGAACAGAACCCAGGTTATTGTAACTAGTTGCCACTGTTACATGCTCAGGTCCCAGCTTTTTCTCTTGAATGCTCAGAGCAAGTTCGAAATACTCCTTCGCCTTCTCAAAGTCGCCCAGTTCCTTGTGAACAGAACCCAGGTTATTGAAACTAGTTGCCACTGTTACATGCTCAGGTCTCAGCTTTTTCTCTTGAATGCTCAGAGCAAGTTCGAAATACTCCTTGGCCTTCTTAACTAGTTGCCACTGTTACATGTTCAGGTCCCAGCTTTTTCTCTTCAATGCTCAGAGCAAGTTCGTGATACTTCTTGGCCTTCTCAAAGTCGCCCAGTCCCTTGTGAACAGAACCAAGGTGATTGTAACTAGTTGCCACTGTTACATGCTCAGGTCCCAGCTTTCTCTCTTCAATGCTCAGAGCAAGTTCGTAATACTCCTTGGCCTTCTTAAAGTCGCCCAGTCCCTTGTGAACAGAACCCAAGTTAATGTAACTAGTTGCCACTGTTACCTGCTCAGGTCCCAGCTTTTTCTCTTTAATACTCAGAGCAAGTTTGAAATACTCCTTCGCCTTCTCAAAGTCGCCCAATTCCTCATGAATAGAACCCAGGTTATTGTAACTAGTTGCCACTGTTACATGCTCACGTCCCAGATTTTTCTCTCGAATGCTCAGAGAAAGTTCGTGATACTCCTTGGCCTTCTCAAAGTCGCCCAGTCCCTTGTGAACAGAACCCAAGTTAATGTAACTAGTTGCCACTGTTACATGCTCAGGTCCCAGCTTTTTCTGTTGAATGCTCAGAGCAAGTTCGAAATACTCTTTGGCCTTCTCAAAGTCGCCCAGTTCCTCGTGAACAGAACCCAGGTTATTGTAACTAGTTGCCACTGTAACATGCTCAGGTCCCAGCTTTTTCTCTTGAATGCTCAGAGCAAGTTTGAAATACTCCTTGGCCCTCTCAAAGTCGCCCAGTCCCTTGTGAACAGAACCCAGGTTATTGTAACTAGTTGCCACTGTTACATGCTCAGGTCCCAGCTTTTTCTCTTTAATGCTCAGAGCAAGTTCGAGATACTCCTCGGCCTTCTCAAAGTCGCCCACTTCCTCGTGAACAGAACCCAGGTTATTGTAACTAGTTGCCACTTTTACATGCTCAGGTCCCAGCTTTTTCTCTTGAATGCTCAGAGCAAGTTCGAAATACTCCTTCGCCTTCTCAAAGTCGCCCAGTTCCTTGTGAACAGAACCCAGGTTATTGAAACTAGTTGCCACTGTTACATGCTCAGGTCTCAGCTTTTTCTCTTGAATGCTCAGAGCAAGTTCGAAATACTCCTTGGCCTTCTCAAAGTCGCCTAGTCCCTTGTGAACAGAACCCAGGTTATTGTAACTAGTTGCCACTATTACATGCTCAGGTCCCAGCATTTTCTCTTCAATGCTCAGAGGAAGTTGGTAATACTCCTTGGCCTTCTCAAAGTCGCCTAACCTCATGTTGACCACACCCAAGCTATTATAATAATATGCAACATCAGCGGACTCAGTTCCAAACTTTTTGAGAGCGGCTTGAAGTAAAATTTCATAAAATTTCTTTGCGGCCTGAAAATGACAATGGTTCTCACAAAATTCACCCAGCTTCCCCATTTCAGGCTGGACGGTTCGGGAAAGGGAAACCCTTGAAAGTACGTTTTCAAAATTAAGAATAAAACATCCTAAATGTAGGGAAAGGGCGTAGCTTTGCAAAATTGAGTCTGACGATTCATTTGGTAAGTTGTTATCTATGAACTTGTTAAACGCCGCCACAGCGCTTTTCAAATTTTTCACGTGACGGCTTTCCGGATAACCCTGACGTAACGGCATCGTGTACAACCTGATGTACCCGGATGTGGACACCAAACTCATCTTTATGTGACAAAAGTAGCGAACATCTTTGGAGTTTCATAATTATCATCTCTTTATCTTTTATTCCTGCTGCGTTGACAATATAATTCACCAAGATATCCTCATTTAAAGCCTGTGACGAGCAGAGGGAGAGAAAATTTAATGCATGATCTATGATTTTGTCTGATTTCATCACTTCTTTAACGGCCAGTGTTGTTGCTGTTGTCATCGATTTCTTGTAACATGGGTTGATCTCTGCAAGTAGAGTCTCTGTCACATCACGTTGCCCTTCTTCTACTATTCTTAGAAAGTGGTTCCAACCAAACTCTTAAAAACGTTTGCTCTGTCGAAGTTGCTTCACATAGGTGGCAGCGCTTACTAACGCAAGGGGTTGATAATCGAGTTCTTTTGCTACTGCTTCTCCCAGCTCACTGTCACTGATACCAGAAATCAGAGCCAACAAAGAAGAGGCTTCCTGGGACTGCATACCCTCGCTTGCTGAGATGTGTTGAATGGAAAGGCCTGGTAAGGGTAGACACGAGGTATCTTGGGTCGTGATCAACAGATAACCTTTTCCCCACTGTCCATGTCCTTGCTGAGGTAAATAAACATGCATTTCAGATAAGCTTTTAACGTTATCAGCCAACAGAAGCCAGGACTCGTACTGACCAATCTTTGTGCTGATTAAGGATATCAGGCTGTTGATCTTCTCCTCTCTCTTCAAATCCTTTGAGCTATGGGTGTTTGTAATAGCATGTTCCGGGCATTTCATTTGTCGAGCGAACGTGATGTAAGATTCCAGAAGTGTGCCTAACGTCTCCGCATCCAGTGTCATTACAAACACTGCAGAGGAATAGTCCTTTTGGGCTTTCTCGTAAAATCTCTTGGCTACAAGACCGGCTAGTTGCGATTTACCGCTGCCAGGATTCCCGGAGATATACAAGACACTTAAGTTGCTTTTATCAGCTCGCTTAAGCTCCTGCAGCTGTTTTGTGATATCAGCAACCTCAACATCGCAACTTGCTATATTGTGTGAAGGTTTAGGAGGAAGAATGCAAATTAGGAAGTGTTGTTCAGCAGTTGTTCGGAAAGAACCTGTCATTGATCTTCGGATTTCTTCAGCAGATCTTCAAGGCTCTTCAGCTGTTTTTCTTTTTCTACTGACTGATCTTCAAGTCTCTTCCGTCTCTCTTCTGTTTTCTTTACGTTATCTTCAAGGTTCCTTTGTAGTTCTTCTGTTCTCTTTAGCTGGTCTTTAAGGTTCCTCCGTTGTTCGTCTGTTTCCTGTAGTTCATTTTCTCTTCTCTCTATGAGATCCTCGAGGCCCTTTCGTTTTCCTTCTGTTTCCTCAATCTCATTTTTAAGACCCTGCAGTTGTTTTTCATTTTCCTTTAGCTGATCTTTCAGATCCCGCCGTTCAGTCTCTATCTCATTTAGCTGATCTTCAAGCTCCATGTTTTCTTTCTCTTTTTCTTGTAAGTCTTTTTTTAAATCGTTTACTTTTTTCTAAAACATCTCTTAACTCCTTCGTCGGAAACTTCGTTTGGTTTGCGATCTGTTGAATTTCTGTAGTGGAAAGCCCTAGTGCCTGGAATGCAGCAAAAACTTTTCCAATAGCAGTATTAAAGTCTAACTCCGAAAGTTGACCTTGGGGCATATGAGCAAATTCTTGATTGCGAAATTTTCTGAGATTGTCAACATTCGTTTTTACTACCGCGTTTAGACCAGAGATGCAATCGGAGTAGAGAATGGCGTAAAACAGCATGGTACAGTCCCAGTCTGCTCTATTTCTTTTAATCATGGTCGCCAATAGATGCTTGTTCCTCCTTTGGTTTGGCGGGGACTCTGCATTGTAAAAGTCTGTCCCATTACCAGGATCATCTTTCCATTCTCCAAAGGTCGTCCTGTAACGACTGTCCCATTCTTGTTTGAAAATTGTTCGCAAACCTTCGGTTAGGATATCAGTTGTGACGTAACAAATCTTGTAATAGTTTAGTTGCTCATCGGTATATTCTTTTGCAGCGGCCATGTCTGTTGCAGAGGTGTCTTGCAACCCTTTGTTGAAAATACTTCTATTAGCTAATGGTAAAAAATAATTACCAAATCTACAACTTTAGAAATCAAATTACTTCAACTTCAGGCAAAATACTGGCAACAGTACTTTTAACACCTGTGTTAGCGCCAAAGGAGCTCGGTACTGAAAGACGTCATGCAGTCTTCTTGCAGGGCGTTAGTCGATGAATCAATTTCAAATCATTCAGTCATGAAAATCAATAAAAAGAAGTAGAAAGTAAATAAGAGAGAATAAAGCTTGGGAATTAAGGTTCATTCATAAAACCAGGACCACAGAACATCGTTCACTCTTTTCAATGTCGGTGGTTTACAGGAAACCTTATGTTGATCTCAAACTCACCACAGCTATAATTAAAGTTGAACTTGGTGCCAGACCTAACTCAGTCAAACTCTTTCCCAGGTCTTCCTTAGTCAGCTCTCGCCTGGGGTACGTGGTGTACAGTGTTATTGAGCTAGTGCTGAGTCCTAGTTGCTGAGAACAATTGAAAAGACCACATTAATAATCATAAAAAAAAAATTGGCATTTTAACAGGACATGTTTACTCAAAAGAACTCAATCATGTTTTTGAAAGGTTTATAGCTGCAAGGACAATTTACAAATACCAAATGGTCTTAAAGGGAATTCTTATTTGGACACACATGGGCAAGGTTGCAGAAAATTAAGAATCTAATGTAGAACTAACAATTGGAAAATTAAGAAAAAATATTTCTTTAACCCCTAAAATAAGAACCTAACAATTGTAGTTGAAGTCTATTTAACACAGAATTCTCCCATACTTATCTAAATAGAATTCCCTGAAAGCACATTAAATTCTGCTAATTGTTATACAAGTACATGAAAAAGTCAACCACTCACAGTAATGATATACTGACGTATGGTCTCCAAAGGAGTATCCGCTGGGAAAGAGTTGGTTAATGAACTGCCATCTGGAAGACGAAACTGGAGCCGAGCAGAAATGCTGAGTAAAAAACAAAAAGTCTCTGTTACATGCATATGTACAAAGTAGTTATCGACAATACAATATAAAATTGTAACCAAAGTAATAGCTGTATACTTTAATTACTCTTACAATGTAAGTGAAGGATATTTAAGAACTCTAAACCTTTACAAATGGCATGTTTCATTGCATTTCTACCTTATACTTACCATTCACTCTTTCCCAACCTCTCACTGCCATCAGTCATGGTAGGTGAAGGTGAGACTGAGGCAGCCTGAGC